TTAAAATAAATATTAAAAATGTAATTAAATCTATACTAATTATTTAAAATAATAATAATAATAATAACAATAAGAATAACGTGTCCCGCGGGAGAAAGTCTGCTGTATCCTCGGGATACAGCAACGTGGTATCCCAACCCAATGGGAAAACACCACATCAACAATTTTTTCAGACTTCATCAATCTCAAACCCAAAAAACAACTGATGTGGTGTTTTCCCATTGAGTTGGGATACCACGTCTGCTGTATCCCGGGGATACAGCAGACTTTCTCGTCCCGCGGGGAGATCATACGCCCCCTGAATACCATGGCCCAGGAACGGAGCTAGTGTAGGAGAAAGGAGGGCAGCCGCCACGCCTAACCTTTTGAAAAATATTAAACAAGGTACATTAATTTTTTTCTACAAAATTTCATATTTAAAGTTAATTTGAAGGGTGTATTTATTTTTTTTATAAAAATATATAATAAACACACCCTTTCAAATTAATTTTAAATATAAAATTTTGTAAAAAAAATTGATGTACCATGTTTAACATTTTTCAAAAGCTTAGGGGGGGCGGCTGCCCCCCTTGTCCTACACTAGATCCGTCCCTGTTTGTGATAAATTTTACAGAACATAGATTTTATGTTTTCTCTGCCTTGCTAATCTATTTAGACTGTTGTTCATCATTTAATTAACGTATATACCATTGCCTATGCATATGTTTGTAGGTTGATCATGAAAGTAACATCGTACTTAAGACATTTTTTCTTAAGTAATGTGCAGGTTGTCTATATGTTGGATCAAGTGCGAGCGCTAGAGAATGAAATGCTTCTTAGAATAAAAAAACAAGGACTGCATATTACTCCCAGAATTCTCATTGTAAGTGTATTTGCACTTAGTTAGATATTTATTTCAATTTACGTGTTGTTTATATTGGAAAACTAAACGTGATACATTAGCCATTTATTTTGACATTCATGTATTTGCATAGTTGAGCAAGCCAAGACAAGAAATCAGTATCATTTCATAGAAATCTCTCGTGTTCTTCCTTTAGCCTTTTCTCCCAAAATTATGTATTTGCAACTAAGTGATATTAGAGAGGGTCTGATCTTGCATGGGCCTGAAGTGTTCAGAAAGCTTCCAGAATCTAGCTGAGATAATTTTTCTTTCCATTAATGAAAGGCTAGTAACTGCCTAACCTAAGAAGTATGCCAAGTAGATCACAGTACTTACCTACTTGCCTTGATGTGAGTGTGCTCCCTAAAGGCTCACTACTCCCCTATCTCTGTAGTTAGTCATACTAATTACACACTCCACACACACGAACCATAAATCTCCCTACATGATGGAAGACATATATGTTCAGTACGTATGTTTCTGCTAGGTCAACATAATTGGGGCATCTAATTCTTCAACAATACGGTGATTGCACCCAAAACTTGAATTTTTCATTTGTAATTTAAGCATGCTTCCTTTGATTGTTGAAGGTGACCAGGTTTATTCCCGACACAAAGGGTACAACATGCGACCAGAGGCTGGAGAGAGTCAGTGGTTCAGAACATACTCATTCTTTGTAAATGGATCTCAAGGTTTGATGTATGGCCTTGTCTGGAGACTTTTGCTGGAGTAAAATTTATTTTTGCCAAAGCTTTTAAGTGCTAATGCTTTAAAAAACAGTGAATGAATAACCACGGGCTATTGGTCAAAAAAATAAATAAATAAGAAAAAGAAAAAAAGAAACCATTTGTTTGCGAAAATAATCTCCCCATTTATAGGTAACTTTTACCCTTTCCCCTGGAATAGGGGATGGGGCATTGATATTTTTCATCCAAAATTCAGTATTGTTTCTCCTTAGGCAGATATGTGCATATATTTGCCATTTTCTGAGAAGCAAAAAAGGCTTACAGCTCTACATGGTTCAAATTCAATAGAAGAATTGTTGTACAATCTTGAGCAAAATGACGAGCACATCTCAGTATCTTCTCCATAGGTTTTATATTTGCCTAGAAGAATTTAATGTCTGGAAGGAACTATACTGGATTTGAAAACATTTTAAGGATCTGATATATTTAATTTATCTATATTATGGTAGCAAGCATAATATTTTCATGGACATTATTAGGAGTTATTTAGATGAAAACATGAAGAACAAGGCTAAGCAGTTTTCCTTCACTATTACTAAATTAATGGCTCAAATGTGAATAAAACATCTGGCCTCTACAGTCAATCATCCACTTGTGGCAATTTTTTCTCAGGTTATGTGCATGAAGTTTAAACTTGAAAGAACACAGTTTCTCATTGCGACGCAGGCAACATGAATGATGCTCTAATTGGTTCTCTAGCTAGTGTATAACCTGAGTTTATCTCTTTTCCATGGCCAGGCTGGCTCGAGTTGAAAACATGACTGGGTTGGTAGAGTGCTATGGTAAAAATACCAAGCTTAGGGAACTGGCAAACCTTGTTGTGGTAGCTAGTTACATAGACGTGAAGAAGTCCAAAGACAGAGAAGAAATTGCAGAAATTGAAATGATGCATAGCTGCTCAAACAAATCAAGCTCGTAATATCGAGCTCTATCATTACATAGCTGGCACAAAAGGTGTTTTTGTGCAGGTATCATGCCCAATAGTGATTTTGCAGTACTGTTTCCCGGCCAATCTCACGTAATAACATAACTGCATTACCGTTACTGGTGTATTATAAATATTGGAATTAAATTTTGGATTATGGACATTAGTGTATGTATGGGCTGTACAAGGTAAAGTCAAGTTTTAGTTATTTATTTTGGATTCATCTCGTATTTGTACTGAAAAGAAACTAACGCTGAACAATGTAAGTGAGTGACAGGGTTGGGTCAGGTTAAGTTCCATCAAAGTAAAAGATTTTCCATTTTCATGAAAGCTATTGCTCTTATCCATGAGGTATTTGATTAAACTGTGAAGACTATGAGAATGTCTTGTGGTCCCTTTGGGCCCGTACTGTGCTTGTTCCCACCATCAGCCAACTAATCACTGCTCTTGCCTGTGGGGCTACCCATTACCATCTCCCAGTCCAGACTCTTCCCGACTCCGACACCCCCCTGAACTTCTGTAAAATGGGGTAATAAAACCACCCAGCTTTTTTGACCACGCCAACACTATCACAATGTTCCACAAAATCTCCTTTCTTAATCCCTCCCCTGTTTCAACGGTCAAAATCTCAGTTCCCCATTCTCTCCAACTGTAAATTATTCTGTTACACCTTGTTAACTACTGAAAAATCCAGTTATTTTGTTTTATTTGATAGTGATAGACAAATCTAATAATTACGTTTATGATTCAAATTATAAGTACAGCATGATAAGAAATTAATTTTTTTTGAATATCTTAAATTGATGCTTTTTTAAATAAAAAAATTAATAAATATTTAATTAAATAAAAAATAAAGAAAGAAAATTCATAGGATTTAAACATGCAACCATAAAAAATAATTTCTACTAAGCCATGATCTTAGTCACTAGACTAAAGAGTGGGATTGAATACCCCAAATTGTTATTGAGATGCATTGTTAAAATTGTTTGGAAAAGAATTAATTTAAAGATAATCTATAAATATAAAATTAAAAAGTAAAAAGGACAAATCCAGTTATTAACCATACACCATAAGCGATTCAAGTTACTCTCTATTGTCCAGTTTTGACTTGTTCTCCTCTTATTATTGCTATTATAATTATCTTAATCCAGGAATTAGTGGCCCCCTGAGACATCAGATTCTATGCTAGCAAATCGCACTAGCTAGAGAAAGTTAAAAAGTTAAAACACTAGAAGACACATTTTCAAGTTCCCAAACAGACTGAGAAAAGTAAACCAAACCGCCTATACCATGGGAAGCCCAGTAGCCTTTTCGATTAAAATAAAAGCAAAACGCCGTGCATAGCACGCCGTTTTGCAGTACATTTCCCACCCATCCTAGCTTCAAGATACTACTAACTAAAATAACAATAATAATAGTGTAATACCATATCCTTTTGACCACTGTGCGTCAAGGGTTTTGGTGCTCGATCCCTTAGGTCTCGATCCTGCCTCGTGCACTCTTCCAAGAGAATAATAATATTACTCGAGCATTTCCATTTTAACACACAAATTATTTTTTTAAAAAAAAGCACCTAAAGCTAAAACTTGTTTAGGTACTTCCACTGCATACTTGCTAATGCCTAGGACTTTTAAAGCTGGCCGAAGGAGTGAGCGAGATAAGCCAGGGCTCCTACGAGGGGTGCGTTGATGTATGTTGACGGCTCCGACTGCTCATAGTCGGACCGTTCATCGGGGAATTGGTCGTGTTGGTCTGGCCCACCAACGATTGCACCTACAAGAATGTTGGGGTTGGGGGACTCAGATTTCATGTAGTTAAATCCTGCGGAACATTGGATCTTGGCAGGATGGGCGGCAACCGAGGGCAGAGATGAACCTCTGTGGTGGATCCTTTGTGGGTACAAGGGACCATATCCCACCATGTAAGACATCTTCAAGGGGTTGTCTCCTAACAAATAGTCCACCTGAAAGTACCCATATAAGAGTTAAAAATTGGGGATTATTATTATTATTATTATTTTAACCCAAATGGAGAGCTTCTTAGCTTAAGATTCGACCTGTTTCTTGGCAATGGTTCTGAGCCTCTTTGGGGTGATGATGGTGCCACCGCAGTCGACATTCTGGTGGGCTTTGGTTAAGTACTTGGCATATGAGAGTAGGAGGAAAGAGGTAGAAGTCACATACTGCATGTTGGTGTCACTCATCTTGAAGAGGAGCCCACCTGTTTAGAAGAACCAAAACTAGCCGTTATAGGAAGCTTCAAAATTTTACGTTATGGATAATGACAAAGAAGTGGGGACAGGGGACCTGGTGTGTATTGGGCAGAAGAGAATGGGGCCCCTGGAATTAGAGAACAGACAAAATTATCTGCGTGACCCTTGTAATCATGGAGGGATTGAACTCTTTGCACAAGAAATTCCTGAAAATCCAAGGACAAAATTAATGTTTTGAACATTTACTTCCACCGACATTAAGAAACAGGGGAAAGTTGAATGTGGAAATTTACCTTGGAAAGGAGGATTCTTGCTCCAACATGTTTGTTATCCCATCCGAAGGTGTTGTCATAATCTCCAGCTCCAAGGGTTTGCCCATTAATTTGAATGTAGTTCAGGTAAGTTGGGTTTTTGGTGGCTTTGTGCAGCCAAGCAGCACCCCACAGGAGCTCATCCTTTACCATCAAAGCAAAAAGGGAAAGTTTGGGTCTTTATGAAAAACCCCCCCATGAAAAGCATCAATTGATTTGGAAAGATTTAGAGGATGTTATTAGCCTTACCTGATAACCAGAAAAAGAGCAATAGAATGGGCACACAAAACTCTTCAATGTATTACTGTAGGTTCCCCTGTACTTATCAGCAAATTCAAACACCTTTACCAAGAAAAAAGAAATGAAATTTTATTAGTTATTAATGGAAATTACTACAAGGAAAAGATAAATTTTGATTGTTTGCTTTGGATTAGTGAGATTTACCCTGATGGCCCTCCTGAGCAAGAGCTTCGAGTAAATGGGGTCACTTCTTCTGAAGACCAGTGAGGCAGCTGCAAGAGCAGCAGCAGTTTCAGCTGCAACATCAGAGCCAGGGGAGTTCTTGTCTACCTTGAAAACACTCCTTGGAGTGTCCATGTCTTCTGGCCTTTCCCAACAAGCATGGTCCTTGTTTGCTTCTCCAACCTGAGAAAAACCAACCAGAGAAACAACATTACTTCCCAACCCCTGTTTTTGTTCCCACTTAAACAACACACACACACACACACAAAAGCCATTTTTGAAAAGAAATCCAAAACCTGAACATAGACAGTGTCTGGATGTGCAGTAGCTTTGAGGAGATAATCAGTAGCCCAACGAATTGCTTCTTTGGCATTTGACAGCTCCCCCTTCATCAACCCACCAAACTCAACTACACTCCATGAAAGCATGGTGGTAGTGAAGGCCATGGGGAACCCAAACTTCACGTTGTCCCCTGCATCGTAGTATCCACCAACCAAATCAACCTGCATTTACATCTCACACACTAAATCAGAAAAACCCACTTCTCTTTTCCTACAAAAACATAGTAAATCAAGGTTTTTCTTCTTACATTCATGGCTGCACCATCTGAGAGACCCGAGTCCCTTCTCCATGTAATCCTCTGGTTAGAAGGCAACTTCCCGGACCTCTGCCCTTCAAAGAAAAGGATTGATTTGGTGAGGGCATCTCTGTAGTTGTGCTTGGCGAAGCGAGG